CTACCAAAAGAAAGCTGAGCCTCTTCTTTCAGCTGAAAAAAAAGATTGTTTCCATTCTTTAGCAATCAGCATTCGAAAATAGCTAATTTTCATCAGACTTCCAGTTTCTGAACAAAGACTGCTTTCCTTTGACAAAACAATAAAACACCACCAAAAGGGCTTTTGACAGCAAAAATATTTATCTGCACTCTTTTAAACTGATGAAATTGAACTATGAGCAGAAGAGAAACAAGGAATTCAGTGAGTGTGTGCACGTGCATCTTTGCATGTGCAAGTGCACGTGCACATGTACGTGCACATGTGCATGTGCGTCCACTCCACCCTGCAATTTCGTGCGCGTGCATGCATTTCCCCTTCACCCTGCAATTTATGCATTTCTTTGTGTGTGGTACAAAATGAAGCAGTTGACCTGATGCAAGGGCCCCCAGCATGTTTTACACCACATTCTGGTTTGACTTCGCTTGCCTTTGCAAAGGCAGAGCCGGCACTTTCGCTGCAGTGTGACTTTTGCGTGAGGCACATGATGTTCGTACACCTGGAGCCTCTTTTGACGGCTGCTTTCAGCATATTCATGTCCCTTATCATTCTTGGTGGAAGATTTTCTTTCCCAAAATTAATTGTTTCAATTTGTACATCCCTACTGCCTCTGAACGCACTCTCTCCTAACTCTACACTACTCCACAACTTATCCCGTGCATCCCTCTCCCTCTAATTCTTCTGCAGCACGATCCTTGCCACCTGCTGGACAGTTTTTAAATGATTTAGAATGCAGAATTATATTACAATGCAGATAAGACTGATCCTGAGTCAGAGGCTGCGTCAGACCCTTTGGCACACTCTGACACTGCATAAGACGTAAAACACGTCACAAGTATGTGGCCGTAGTGGTTTTTAAAGGCGTATGTATACGTCATGGGGATAAAAGAGTTAAATAACAATCACTTACATGCTTAAAAATGTATAGTTCTTCAGGTTTAGAGTGACAAGTACTTCATTTATAGTGAATTACTTGCAACAGTAAGTAGCAAACATTGTCTCATTCACACCTGATCTATTCCACACCCAAGTCAGGACGTGGCGGTTGGTAATCCTGGACAAAGTAGAAGGAAAACATTCTCCAGCTCAGCAACCAATGCTGTGCACACAGGCCGGAGCACTGAGGGCAGCCTGCAGACTTGAATATTGCTTTGGGACAAACGCCACACTTTGGCAGGTAAGGTTCGTTATGCTTTTTAATGTTTTAATTACTGCTAAGGCTGATAGCATTAGCGACTGATGTTAGCCTAACCACTAATATCGCTAGTGGGTGGTAGCATCCAAGGGCTAGCTGCATGTTGTCCTGAACAAAGCGATGAGGCGCCGGACGCAACCTTGAACTGGTTGTGTGAGGTCTGTCTGTGGGATCCGTTTGGTGGCAAGTGGTGGTACTGTTCTACTAATTCTGAGTAAAACGTGGATGTTGTGCAGGCTAATGTTCATTTTGGCTCCAGGAGTTTATTATTTTATTATCAACCAGTGTTCAGGCAAACCCAGAATACGCTGCTCCAGTAGTAGTATGTGGAGAAGTTATTTTCTGTCCATACTTAAGCATCCTAAGAGAGCACAAACGATTATGGAGAAATTAGGAAATGGGAAGAAGAAAAGAGAATGACAGGAGAAGAGTAGGAAATGGGGAGGTGAGAATACGGAGTTGAAAGAAAGAAGAAACAGGGGAGAAGAGGAGGAGAGAGCGTGGGCGAGAGGGCTGCCTGAACCAGCCACGACTAAAACCTTTGTCAGAGAGAGGTTTTAAGCCGAGACCTAAATGTAGAGAGTGTCTGGCTCTCTGACTCATGAAGAGAGTCCACAGTCATTATCAAATGAAGCAGGAATGCCTGAAAAACTAGGAATGCATTCCGAGTCCACGTCCATGTTCCCGTTTGAATTGAGTCACGTCCACGTACATGTTGAGCCGAGCCACGTCAGTCCGAGCCCCGTCCACTTCAGGCCAAGCCCTGTCCACGTCAGGCCGTCCCACGTTCCTTGTCAGGCCGTCCCACGTTCCTCGTCAGGCCGTCCCACGTTCCTCGTCAGGCCGAGCCCCGTCCACGTCAGGCCGAACCACGTCCACGTCAACCCAGCCCAGTCAATGGGTGACTGTTTGGGACTTCTGGGATCAGTCCCTTGAGGGAGGGGTACTGTCACGGTTGATCTTTTTGGGACCAACCGGTGGCTCTGTAGGGCTACTCCTACAACGGCACACCTGTTGGTCATCAAGGCATGAGTAGGTTTTCTGTTAAAAGGACTTCTGGCCCAACCACTCACTGTCGGGTCATTGTTTCCGTCACTGTTTCTGTAAGTGTTTCTGCCATGGATTTTTGTTTGTTACTTTGGGCTCTTGTTGTTTTCAGGTCTTTGTTCTGGATTTAGTTTTCTCAGTGTTTTATTAATTAATTTTGTCATGCCCACCCTGCTCCTCCCTCCTGTCTGGGTTTTGGGGTGCACCACCACCACGTTCGTGACAGAAACTTAGCCAAGTATCTTCGATGAACAGAACAGTGTCAATTTAACATGCTAAAATGTAGTTGATTAAAATAGTAATTCTGAGTAGGGTTTCAGAAGTCAAGAGTATTCTAAAGTAAATTATCAAGTACACTCTACTTGATGGTTTCAATTGCTTGAACTCATTTGTAATGGTACTCTACCAAGGACGTGAAAAAGAAGAATGTCATGCGATTTTTTTTTTTTTTTTTTTCAAGTGAGACAGCCTCTCGGTGGGCAGGAGGAGCTTCCCAAAGACTGGACCGTGAGTGGGAAGCTGGTTGCTGTCAGGAAAGGTTAGAATAAGACTTGGTGGTGGAACTAGAGTGTCAAGGAAAGAGGTTAGCTTCGAAAACGAGGGACACTGAAAGGACTGAGGAGTGGAGACAAAAATACAAGGACACGGAATGTCGAGCAAAGGTTGAAGTGGCTAAGGCCAAAAAAACACAGCTGGATGGATGGTGAGATTACTTTGAGTGGTTTTAGAATGAGGGAAGAGCAGAAGAGGCAAGTGTGGTGGACCACATAGTAATAATGATTGGTAAAGAAGAAACTAGGCACAACAAAGAATGAAAAACAGAAAGCGAGTTGGTCCTGATTACATAACAGTGGCGGTATGGAAACAACTAGGAGAGGTGTCTGTGGACATTTTGACCAATTTGTTTCATAGAATTCCAGAATATGAGGAGATTCATGAAAAATGGAGCAAAAGTGTGCTGGTACCGATTTTTAAGAACAAAGGAATCAAATTGATGAGTCACACAATAAAGGTATGGGAAAGAGTGGTGGAAGCTATAGACTTGGAACAGGAGTATTTCTGTGTCACTCTGCGGTGTAATGCTGAGGAATCGCTGACTCTTGGCTGTCAACAACTTGGCGCTGCCAAAACGTCACTTCAGGTGACCTCGGACAAATGGGCGAAGGGGTTACGTTTTTGCTTCAAACGCTTCCGATGCGCCGTTTGGCACACCACTACGGCTGAACGCAAAAACTGCATTGAATATATGCAAATGTGCCACCAGAAACACTCAGCTCGTGCTCGGTCTGATGGTGAACCCATTGCCCCTGTGATATTCTACTGCAGCACATCTTGTCAGTCCGTCATTGCTCTCCACAAGGCCTCCTCCTGAGCTGAATCCTATCATTTCCTCCCCCAACCCGATCTCATGCACTGAGTGAAAGTCCAGCCAAATACACTTGACCTTGGCTGACCATTGGGAGCCATGCAGCAGGGGCCTGGTGCTGAAATTTTGAATGCTTGGCTTGGCGCCCTTGCCAGTAGCGCTGGGAGCATTTGGCAGAGATTATGGGCTTTGAATGAAGATCACTATGCCATCTCCAATAGAAGAGGAAGCTGCCAATTGGAGCAAGCAGTGGTCTCTGGCACATCCACATAAGTCAAAATGGAACATTACTGGTCAAGAAACAAAATTTGATGTCAAGAACATGAAGATTCTTAAACATTTTGAACAAAAAATATTGACTGTCAGTTAAAGAGACTGAAATCAACAGGTCTGTCTTTCTGTCTGCCGCTCCCTATGTGTCTGTTTCTCTCTTTCTCTCTCTCACACACACGCGCACACACACACACACACACACACACACACACACACACACACACACACACACACACACACACTTTATCTATGTCTGTCTGTGGTCTATCATTTGTTATCCCGATTACCAATTAAACCTCAACTACCTAACACTATTCGTTAGACTAATTCTCAAATTACTTCAATATACACTACTGTATTACAAATGCATCGCCCTTTTCATCGTGGGAATTGGCAATCTAAATCTAAAATGTCTGTTCAGTAATTGAGTCTTGAGATAATTTTATTTATGGTGTACAAACTGGTATTCTTTATTTATTAGACCACGTATCAATTACAATCAATGTTCCCTCTAATTGTTTTTGTGTCTGGGCAAACACACAAACACCCTGAGCGGTCCCATGGACCACTGTGAGCAACATGCACCATGCAAATTGTGGTCACGCAGTATCATATGCATCATATACATTCAAGTTACATGTTTTAATTAAAACAATAAAATTATGGCAATAGTTTATATCAAAGGATTTCTTTATTAACTCATTGAATACCACCCCTTTTCACTGGAGCAACCCCCTCAATCCCTCACATTTTACTGAATTTTGACTGATTTGCAAGGCCCACGGAATTTTCTGTTCTATGGCTATATATACATGCAACCTGTCAAAAGAAAGGTGAGACTCTCTTCTTTCAGCAGAAAAAAAAAGTTTGTTTCTATCTTTCTCCGTTCGTTGGCAATCAGCATTAGAAAACTGCTAAGTTTTATGGAAAAGGCCGATTTTCTGCAGAAATCCAGAGAAAATGAGCTTTTTGTAAAAGCATGCATTTCAAGCATCATTTCAAGTTTTACACTTTTTTTGCTTTTGTGACAGCTCAAATACCTCAATAATGTGTTCCTCCTACAAAAGAACATTACAAATACTGTTTTTGTAGCAAAATAATTTATTTGCACACAACAAAACTATTGAACTTTGAACAAAAGTGCAAATTGAAAAATGAACGAAAGTGCAGCTGTGGAGAGGATGATTTTTGGCTTCCATCCAGTTTGTCACCACATCGATTCATCCCACCACATCCAGATGCACGACCTATAAATCATAGAAATATAAAAAGTTGCAAATATATCTTGCTGCAGAGTGAGGTACAATAATTTTATTTACCTTTCTTTCCACCACCAAAGCAAGGAGTCATCTTTTGGCTTCTGGTTGAACAATCTGTAATTTATAGAAGTATGTACAATTACCACACTTATTTTTCTATTGTTGCTTTCCACTTACATTTCAACATCTCTCACACACACACACACACACACA